GATATTTGACATTTTTAGAGAGGTTTAGCAAAACAAAAAACACCTTTGGGGTCATTTGGGCTGATCTGGGCGTATTTGCCGTTTCTCTGGAACCCATTGGTCGATTTTGATGATTGACATCTCTTTTGAACCGTTAGAGCCAATAGAATCGAAGGAGAAGTTCCACATGCACACTAACGTTACCATTGAGAAATGGGGGCTATGCACAGGCAGTTTGCCCAAAGTGAAACCTATTTTACGCTCTGAAATCTGAAAACTGAAAGCGTGACACAGACACAGACACATTGGATTAACCTATGGATTAACCTTCAGCAGCGTTTTTATCGTTTTAATGCCATTGAAGACTTACAGCTAAGGTAAGAAATGTGCCGCTTTTGCTACCTAATGCTATTTGTTGTGATGTCTGTTTTTGTTTCTCATGTCGCGAGTTTTGATCATGGAGTGATGATACTGATACCTATCGAATCTGTGTAATCTCACGATGCTAATCGATGGGTTGGATGTGCAGTTACGATAAGTAATAAGGGTGTTTATACCGTGAGTTCTGTGCTAACGGCGTTAGCATTTTTCCGCTCAGGGCTAATTCAGAGGCTCAGCGTTAGTCTTGTTTTTTTTGCTAAAAATGGTTCATATCATCAGTTAGCTGAGTTTCTTCCCGTTACATGGATATGAAACATTCATAGTCTATTAAATCTTAAGAAGCCCTCAGAGACTGTTGCTTGCTGATGTTGTGGTTTCGGCCCCTTCGGCGGGTCTGTGGGGCTTAACAGGTTTATATTGCATTTATTTAAAACAATAACTATTTGTGTGTGGATCAGAAATATATTTGTGAAACTTTTTTTACATTTATACAAAACGCTAACTATTTGTGTTTGCATTGAAACATATTTGTGTGGATGGAGACATGTATGTCTGCTGCCTCAGGAGTCCCCTGGGACAACCAGTCTGAAAGGACTCCTGCTTCAGCTCCACCTCTCTCTGAGCCTCTGGTTTCCAGCAGCAGGTTCTTTGGGTTCCACCATAACAGCACCAAGACCTCCTGGACACAGCTTTGATCAGCTCAGCCGGGGCTCCTCGAGGCGTCCTTCACCCAGAGAAGCTCCTTCAGAGCAGAGTCCGGCTCCTGTGGCTTTCATATTTTAGAATTCATTTTCTAATGGGATTTCTGTTCTAGGATCAGATTCTATTAGATAGGTGAGAAATAATAAAACCTTTTTTTAAAACATTGTTTTGAGTCCCTGAGCAGAAGGAGCAGAGGATCTGTTGAAGACATAGGGAAAGGGTTCACTAATGGAGACCACTTGCTAGAGCAGGGGTCACCAACCTTTTTTAGGGTGAGGGCTACTTTAAAAAAATAAAACAAGTCGGGGGCTACTTTTACTTTTTTTTTTGCGGTGTATATATTTAGCACATTTTAACATTATGATATGCTGACCTTTAACCTTTGTTTGCTGTTTGGGTCTGTGGGACCCGTTTGCAGTGTTTACTAAAAGAACATGTATGCAATCTAATTATTTGAACCTGCTTTATTTGGGGGTGGACAGGCCTCACCTCCTCCAGGGGGGTCCTCACCTCCTCTAGGGGGGTCGGGGGGCATGCACCCCCAGGAAGATTATTTTTTAATGTTGAAGTGAAATGCATCAATCTGGAGCACTTTGAGCACAACATGAATTGATGGATACAGCTCTCAACACTCAGATGAAAGAGAGCTGTATACTTTTCAATAATCCAAACATCTTTAGAATATGATCACAACCAATAACAAATCATTTAAACTGGTTTATTCTTATCTTATGTTACCTAGTTAGCATTTTTTCTTTTTATGTATGCTTATTTTACTAATCACTCTCCTTTCAAACTGTTTTTTGATTTTTTTTACTGTCCTATAGTACACATTGGAATGATTTCTTACTTTATCTATATTAAATAGATAAAGGTATGCTCTCCCTAGCTCTCTCTCTCTCTCTCCCTCCCTCCCCCCCAGCTCTCTCGCTCTCTCTCTCCCCCTCTCCCTCCCTCCCTCCCTAGCTCTCTTGCTCGCTCTGTCTCGCTCGCTCACAGAGGCTGTGAGCTCCTCCGTGGCGATCGACGGCTTGCGTTAAAAAAAAATAATAAACATATTTTTAAAGTGGGGGGACACAAACGGGATTTCGAAAAGTGGGGGGGGACATTTCCCCCCTGTCCCAGGTGGAAATTACGCCATGCGTGTGTGTGCGTCAAGTGCAATAAAGATATGCAAGTTGCAACACACAGAGTAAAACTCTGCCCCCCATGTGTTGTATAGGCTGCATGATAGGCTGTTCAATGGGGCTGATGTGTTGTGTACATTCTGCCAGAAGGAAAATCAGCGGGGAGGTGCCACATTGCTTTTCTTCCAGTCTGCAACGCTAGTCCCGCAAATCAAGCAAGAACGTGATTGGTAGATATTAATTTTGGGGGTGGGGGGAGGAGGGGTGTTAGATAGATATAGAGTTGTATTAAGTAGATAGAGTTCGCTATGATTTAGGTTTCGTTTATGCATAGGGTAGATTCTTTTAATTACATTTCCTTTTTTGTTTTGTGTATTTTATACATTTTGGATTTGCTTGGCGAGCTATTTTTAGAACATGCCCCGCGGGCGACTCACGTTGCCTCTGCGGGCGACCAAGTGCCCGCGGGCACCGTGTTGGCTACCCCTGTGCTAGAGGGTATCAGATGTAGATGTGAGGGTACCTGCAGTCTGTGTTCTTATAAACATGTGTTCTGTTGTTCATCATCAACTCATGTTGGAACTGAGTCCAGTTTGAATCTCTGAAATATTGTTTCATCTCTTTGATGGTGCGTCTTTGACCTCTGTTTGATCTTCTGTCCTCTGCAGACTCTGTCAGGCTGCTGGGGGGGACTGGTCTGTGCTCAGGCAGACTGGAGGTGAACTCTGACCAGTCTACCCAGTCTAACCCGTCCTGGTCCTCAGTGTGTGAGGCTGACTTTGACCAGCAGGATGCCCAGGTGGTCTGCCGGCAGCTGGGCTGTGGGGCTCCTTCAGTCCTCCAGGGGGCGCTCTATGGAGAAGGGGAGGCTCCAATGTGGACCAAAGAGTTCCAGTGTGGAGGCCATGAGTCTGCTCTCCTGGACTGTAGCTCAGCCTCAGAGAGAAACACCTGCTCACCTGGCACAGCTGTTAGCCTCACCTGCTCAGGTAGAGAGGAGCTGTGATTGGTTCATTCTGTTCTCATCAAACTCACTTTATTCTCTCTCTGATCACTCTCTTGTTTCTCTTCAGAGCCTGGTGGTGTTAAGCTGGTGGGAGGAGAGAGTCGCTGTGAAGGACCTCTGGAGGTGGAACATCTGGGAGAATGGAGACCAGTGGACGATTACCCTCTCTGGACCCTGAAGGCAGCAGGAGTCGCCTGCAGAGAGCTCGACTGTGGCTCTGCTGTTTCTGTACAGAGAGAGGTGTCCTCAGAGAGACCTCTGTGGAGGATGAGCTCTCTCTGTGTTCAGTCTGGATCTGCTCTGAGGGAGTGTGCAGCAGCATCACGTTCCTCTCCCTTCTTCCTGACTCTCACCTGCTCAGGTAAGCCCATCAGTGACATTGTTTATGACATCATGTCACCTGTCTCTTTGTTAGTCAGTCTCTCTCTCTCTGACAGATGCCCCTTTCACACCGGCGCTTTTCCAGCTCCGGCTCGGAGCCGGTAAAATGTGCCTGTAGAAAACGGCTTAGCAAGTAGTCAGTTTAGCTTCGGTTGCTATGCTAACATCACCCATGTTATACCAGAGACACTTTCATAACAGCGTTGTGATGCCAAACAGCGTCAATTCAGACTGACACACATTCACTTAAGGGGAACTGGGGATATGTATCAGCTGCTTGTGTGACAGTCAGACAGTGAATACTTTAGAGCCGTGTGAGCTAACCCGGAGCTAACGGGAGAATAAACTCCCGTGGAAGAGCAGCCAGCACTGCAGCGGTCGGTAAATGCCGCTGAAACACATTAATAAACAATGAACCACAGCACTCAGGAGAAAAGTATAAGGTTGGAGAAGTCGTTATTTAATTTAATCTGGCTTCGTATGATTAAAAGCAACACGATCATCGACCAGACGCAGTCCCCCCCCCGTTGTTGTTGTTGTGAGCTCCGTTGGGGGGAAAATCAGCGATGTAAACGGTGACGTCATGACGCAGCAGCGGCAGCTGGGCGGTGTGAACAGAGCGGGAGCTGAAAAGGGAAACCGGAGCTGAACCAGAAAAGCTCTAGCAAGGAGCTAGAAAGGGGAAAGCGCTGGTGTGAAAGCTGCAAAAGAGACAATCACTCTCTGCTACCTGGACTGTCACAGACTGAAAGCTCTTTGTAATGTCTTCAAAGCGGTGTCTTCAGACTGAGAGGAGGTTTTCACAGAGACTGTTTTTATTGTTGCTGCTGGGGCAGGCAAACATGTGGATCTCCAAAAGCAGGAACAACAAAGTAAACAGTACAGCAGCTCAGCAACTCACTAACATGTGTTTCTCTTGGTGAAAGCAAGAGTGAGTGTAGATTTTAGATTTCACTCTCTGATGAGAAACATGGAGGAGTTTTTAAACCGTTAGTGTTTCACTCCATCTGTGAGCTCTGTGGTGGAGGGAGGCCTTGCTTTGAACTCTGTTTCTATGTGAAGAGATGTGTTTAACAAATCAAATCTTCTTAATGTCTAAAAAAAAATCAAATATCCTCTCTCTCTCTCTCTCTCTCTCTCTCTCTCTCTCTCTCTCTCTCTCTCTCTCTCTCTCTCTCTCTCTCTCTCTCTCCAGATAAGCTGTTTCAGTCCAACATCTCTGTGTCCTCCTCCATGTACGGGGTCTCCGGGGCCCAGCAGCAGGGGTTCCAGGTGTTCAGAGGCTACACCTTCACCATCAGTTGCTCCATCCAGCCTCAGTACCTAGGAGGCTCCTTCCTGCTCAGCGCCTCCACTCACAACTACACCCGGCCAGCTGTCAATCACTCTGCCCACTTCCTGTTCCCGGCTGCAGAGCCCGCCCACCAGGGAAACTACAGCTGTGTTTATTTCTCTGCTTTTTCTCAGGACTTCTCCTCTGAGAGCCGTGTGCTCTCCGTCACCGTCACAGGTGAGCTGTTAGAGTTTACTGTAGGACAGAGCGTGATGCTCCCCAGGAGAACGCTGGTGAGGACTGAGTGTTTTACTGTGAGCCCTGAAGCAGTCACACCCTAACATCACATTTAGCTTTCCAGAGCAACGTACATAAGTGCAATGAACCGTGAAGACATGAATCCAGAACAGCAATTCTCCAGTCAGCTGTAGTTTACATTGGAGTATTGCCATGAGTACTGACTGTTCAACAGATACAGCTAGCAGCTTCTCCCTACAGTCCTACTGTCTGGTATGAACAGGAAAAAGGGTTGTGGTTGAATGAAGATCTTAAAGGGCCCATGTCATGGCCATTTCCACTGATCATAATTACATTGTTGAGGTATACTAAAATAGATTTATACTGTGCAATTTTCCAAACTCACATTGGTTTCGCATACAGCATCTCTGTCAAGCATGTGTATTCAGCAGTATTCACTTTCTCCACTAAACGACTCGTTGGAGCTCTTGCCCCCCCCTCCCTGTGAGCCTAGTGTGCTCCGATTGGTCAGCTCGGCCACTCGTTCTGATTAGTCAACCACCAGAGAGGCTGCGCCCATGTCAGTGCTTTTCCCGGCTGCTCTCAGCGTAACATCAGTCTTATCATGGCGTCGGTACAGCGGTATATTTTATATACATATATATTTTTAACTGTTGTTATAGAAGAGTGTGACGGCCCCAGGGCCTTTGTCTTACGATGGGGTGGAGCTGAAGAAGCTAATCAGCACGATCACGGACACCTCCGGACACTACGGCCCCAGTCTCTCTCCAAAGCGGCTGCAGGAAGACTAACTCTGCGATCCTCTCAACCACCTATCTTTGCATTTACCACAATAAATGTGCCGTGGTTTTGTAAACTCGTGTATGTCTCCTTGTCTTTCCGTTGTGGCCTACGAGCTACTCTCATAACAAAGAGTAAGTTATTTTTACCCGTTATAAACTACTACTGTTTGATGAGAAATCAAATCATGGTTTGCTATATATGAATTCAGGGAAGAAAGGATAGGCCTACTAAGTATTTCCATTAAACTTTATTTTTAGAAATGTACAAAATGAACATAAATATACATATATACACGGTATATCATCCATTCCTCCTCCTCTTGCCTGCGCACAGCCGGTGCGGTGCGGTGCCTTTTAGCACGAGGCCTCAGTAGTAGTAGAATCCCTTCCCCGTCATGGATTGTCCGCCAGGATCTGGCTGGACGAAATCAAATGCAAATCACAAAATATTAGAGAAACTTAGTTGTTTTAGATTCGTTAGTAGTAGTTGTGTAATGAACAGCTTGCCTGCTAATATGCTAACCTAGCTTTGTTTACCTTGGTAGCTAACACGATATGAACGTTAGCTTGGAGGAAAGGCAACTATAATGCAGTGTAATAAAACTACTATGAACAAAGCTAGTGGTTCATATTAGGCTAGCAATAACGTGTTTTATAATTGCAATCGTATACGGGTATTCTGCTACCATACAATGTAACTTGCATGAATACATTGTTTTGCGCTAGCATACAGCTAGCCTCGTTAGCTACATGCAGTATATGTACGGTCACAATGTACGGTAAACCGGAGTATACTGTATGAGTATTCCGTGTGTGTGACTGCAGACATTCTCCTGCCATGACAAACATGTAAGGCCATCTGCTGACATTGTAGTTGATATATTTAAACGCTAGCAACGTAGCATCACAAAAATGTTTTTCTGACCAAAACTAGCTCAAGCTCCGTGTGTTAGATCGCTACGCCAGCTATAATGTAATTACGTTTCGCGACTGACCGGCAAATCACCCGCAGTATACTGTCAATAGGTATTTTGTGTGTGAATGCAGACATTCTCCTGCTATGAGATACATGTATGCAAGGCCATCTGCTGATATTAGAGTTGATATATGGAAACTCTAGCAACTTAGTTAGCACAGTTAGCACTGTGTCAATGGCTTAGCAGTCCAACACAGTTTACACATTTAAACAGTCTTGTTTGATAAATACACAAATAACAATGCAAACTTACAGGTTGTATACCCAGATCTTCCCCTGCTCCAAACGGTCCAAACAAGCTGTGCATATCCGGCCTCAAACTGGGCAATGTTTTTGGAAGCTTTCGTCTGTGAAATGCCGGTTCTTCGAACCTCTGGAGGAGGAACACGCCGCTGCTGGTGTGGCCATAGCTCTTCGGGATTGGTCCATTTCGTTCCGGGTACCGCATGACATCAGGCGGTACCCGGAACTAAATGGAAGACTCAAATGGGCAGTGACGTATCTCCAACGAGGCGTTTTGGGGAGGTATTTTCTGTGTTAGAGTTTTACTCGCTACAGGGTGTACTTTGAGGGTTTTGACTCTGCACACCGTTTACATGCATAAAAACCTTCATAACACACAAGGGGACGGGTAATAACCGGAAAAGCATGACATGGGAGCTTTAAGAAGATGTAGTTTATTGTAATATAACTGTAGAGGAGTCTCCATGCTGAAGTGGGTTCAGGTCTCTGTGTGTTTGCTGACTCTTGATGTGATGCTGTCCATGTGTTTGATCAGATCCAGGACCTTTTATCATCCGAGCCGTCGTCCTGCCGCTGACTCTGCTGCTGGTGCTGCTGGTGACCGTCGGACTTCACTTCTACTGTAAGGTACGGAAACATGTTGTTGTTCCACCACTGACTGAATGATAAGGTACTGAGACATGTTGTTGTTCCACCACTGACTGAATGATAAGGGACTGAAACATGTTGTTGTTCCACCACTGACTGAATGATAAGGTACTGAGACATGTTGTTGTTCCACCACTGACTGAATGAAACAGGCCGTTTCTCAATCGCGAGGATTCTGGCTTGGTAGCACAGCCGAGCCGAGCATCTTGCTTCAGAAGCGAGGCAAGAATACTTCCTGGCATTCGGAAAACGAAGAGTGGAACAGGCTAGCAAGTGTGCAGGTGTGCGTCATATGAGAGGCCCCGCCTTACATCTTCCGCCACAGATTTGGGGAAATTGGTCCATGCGCAAAGCATTGTGGGGATTTTAAGGACGCGAAGTCTACCCATGTGCAGCCTCAAAATTTCCCCCAAACCAAGGACGCGGCCTCGGTGGAATTCCAAGTATGCTGCAGATTGGAACAGTCCTTCGGCGGCACTCGATGACGTAGCATCCTTGAAATATTGGCTTGGAAGCCAATATCCTCGCGATTGAGAAACGGCCACAGTGTGTGTTATTGAACAGGAGTGATGCAGGAAGTCTCACTGTGTGCTGTCATGTCTCTCCAGGCCACCAGGGGGCGGAGGCCGAGCCGACAGGAGGACATTGAGCTGGATTACCTGGGTGTTCCTGCTGAAGAGGAAGGAGCTCAGGGAGCAGAGTAGCAGCTCCAAGGAGCTCCTCTCGCACACATGGGTTTATCAGCTCTTATAGCTTTTAACCAACGTTAGAAAATATAGCTTTCACTCTGAAAGTCACCAGCAATGTGTTAGTGCCTCATGTTTCCTGACTTCCTGTCAGCTCCAAGCCAATTGGTTCCCACTGAAGATGAAGATCTTTAAAAAACATCACAAGTTAGTTTTATTTTTAAAAGTCAATGCAGTCGGTGCAGTTTGAAACCAGACACACCAACCCAGGCCGCTCAGGAACTAAGTTGGCCAATGAATGCCATATATTAATGTTCAAATATCCTCTAAAAACAGTGTTACAATACCCAGTGTTTGAATCTAATGTAGTGATTCCTGAGATAACAGGAGGAACGCGTTACAGCGCCACCTAGTGTTAGATTTGTAGACCTCGAGCACAACAAGGGTTTTTGTTATTCAATCAACAAATAAGACAAAGTACAGTTTTTAAAATGTTACGTTTTTCACAACAATTCATCTGATCAGCAAGATAGGATATTTGATCCCCTTGTGGTTCACATGGGTCATTTTAGCAGCAGGGCCAGATTTAGCTGAACAATATACAAATAGGAATTGAACAAAAGTAAATAGTCCAAACACTTCTTATTTCATAACAATGTAGATGTTTTTTTTATTGAAAAATGTGATTTCAGTTGAATTTACCTTGATTTTAGTCTGAAGAGATTGTTTGTATAAAAAAAACAAGCTTTTTCAGAGAAATCCGATTATATTTGTAATTTGCCAAAAAGTATAAGATTTTAACTTTTCTTCAAAGTTCTTATTTCACATGTACTGAGCTCAGTTTGTAATCATTTTCAATCATTCAGTATTTTTCTTATGTTATATCATTTTTTATGGTATTTCTCTGTATTTTGTAGTAATTTAGCTGTTTTTAAGAACTCCACCTATTGGAGAGCATTCCCAAATGCATAAGATATTAAATACTAACATGTTGTAATTAAAAATGTACATAATTTGGTAGAAGTTTCCTTTTTAAAGGGTAATGTGCTTTGTTATGTGATCAAGAAATGTGCTTGTTTTTGTATTATTGAGGATTGTACTTATTTCACAAGATGATCAATAATATGTAATCATTACGTTTTAGACTTTTATGAAACGTTTTTAATTTCTTTTGAATTTCACTTTTTTCAAAGAATTCAGATTATTTTTGTGATTTAGGATTTTCCCAAATTCAGGAGACTAATTATTTCGTACTTAAAATGTTAACATTGTCCGTAAACAAGTGTTGTGATTTTGGAACCGAGAAATGTTTTTGCTTCATAAGAATTTTGATTGATTTTGTTGTTTTTTGCATTTCTGAAGAATTTAGCTTTCGCCAATTAAGGTTTTTTGATGTGGCTTTTTTTTAACAAATGTTGTCAACGCTGTCATTTGCTATGTACCAAAAAAATAATAAAACTTCTTTAATAATCCATGAAACTCTGAGAGTGAGCTGATTTCAAAAGTGTTTCTCCTGGTTTGCTTTGTTTCTGTGTGAGAATTAAACCTCAAGGCTTTAGTTATAACAGGTTAGTATTGAAATAGCTGATTGATTGATAGCGTACAGCGCCCATAAACTATGGCAGGGGTCTGCAACCCTTTGGACCCCAAAGAGCCATTTTGCCCCCTTTTCCACCCATTTCTTTTGTCTGGAGCCGCAAAACCAACACATTCTCACTCCCAAAAGTCCAACATTATACAATCAAACAAATAAATAAACACAAGGATAATTGTGTCTTATTGTTGAGTAAATAACAGTGTGTGGTTTAGAAAAGAATACAAAATTAGAAGGAAAAAAAGATGAAACAATACAGATTTCAGTTTTCTGAGCCCCTACTCTCCCCCTAACTGACAGCAACAAAAGTCCGACATTATTCAATTAAAATAAAGAAGTAAACACAATATGTGTGGCTTGATATTGAGTTAGAAAAAGGTTGATAAACGCTGTGAGAATGGGTCTGCGGAGAGCATTTTGCCGCGATCCCAACTGGTCTATTACCAACGTTCAGGGAGCTCTATGCAAGTCAATGGGACTCCCTGATAGTTGAAACTCAACGCTAAAGGGCCCCCCCTTGCGTTGGAAAGTGACGACAGGGACCCTGACATGACGTCAACATAGGCCGAGTTGGGAGTGAGAATGTGTTGGCAAAACATATCTGATAGCTTGATAGCCTATAACGTTGTATTAATTGTTATATCATAGACATGTATTATTTATTACATTAAAGAAAACTGTTAACCTCTAATAATAAACAAAGAACTCGTATAAGGAGAATAAAAAGAAATACACAGGCCTACTTTAAAATAAATTAAACACAGCACTTGGGGAGTCCTCTGCACATTTGAAGGAAATAAATACAATTCAAATGGGCCCACTTTGAAATAAATAAAAAGCTACACACTGTGAAACAGTTCATGTCAGTTCAACTTGCAAATGAAAGTCCACCTGCTGCCTTGAAAAAGCAAATCAAGTCAACTTGAAGACAAACTTTGTTTCAACTCATTAATGCAAGTAAATCTCGTTGATATGACTTAAAGGTTCTAGTTGTATTAACATTGCTTTTTTAAGTTGTTTAACCCTCCTATTGTCTTCGTTCCCCCCCTTACTTTGGTGTTTGCGGTCAAATTTGACCGGTCCTGTTTTAACTGCTATTACATTAAAACAAAAACCATTAATCATCACCACATTTCCTTTAACACCCTTTCAAACTGTACATATTGTATCAGACTACTGGTACACATGAACAACTGCAGTAAATATACAAAGAATAGACACTGAACATGTATTGCGTGTGCCAGGTGTGATCCATGTGGGGGGATGGGCACATAAGGGGGGAACACATCTAGAGTATGTGTGTGTGTGTGTGTGTGTGTGTGTGTGTGTGTGTGTGTGTGTGTGTGTGTGTGTGTGTGTGTGTGTGTGTGTGTGTGTGTGTGTGTGTGTGTGTGTGTGTGTGTGTGTGTGTGTGTGTGTGTGTGTTTTATCTGATCTGGATGGTTACTAATTCCTTTTCTTTATGGCGGGAACACCATGGGTGTTTCAAAGTTGACTAAATCATCCAAAATTCAATGAAAGTGGTGATCAGCAATTTCATATGTTCAAATGTCTACTGTGAAGGATATCATAAAGCCTTAATGCAATTGAATCTAAAACAAAAAAGTTATGATTGATGAAAGTAGTAAATCGGTCAGATTTGACCCGAAGACAACAGGAGGGTTAAGTTGTTTTAACTTTATACTCAGAGTTGAAGCAAATACCAATCTGACATTATTAGAGCAAGGAAACCTTATTTACCTCCTAGTCAAATAAACTCACATTTCAGTCTTATTATAACTCACACTTTCAAGTTCTACATTTATATAACTCATCATTTCAAGTTAAGAACATTGTAATAATACATTTGTTTCAACTTAGATCTATTAGTTATATTGACTTCTGATTGCAAGTTTATTATTACATAATAATTATTGCAGCAAATTTGTTCAGATATATAACGTTTATTTAAAAAAACATGTTATACATCAACTTGAACACGGCATGTACTCGCTACAGGGTGTACTGAGGGTTTGTGACTGCAGACCGTTTACATGCAGAGAAAGCTACATCACACGGGGACGGGTAAGAACAGAAAAGCATGACATGGGACCTTTAAATAAAAGTGTTGGTTCATTAGGAAAGTTATTATCTCCCAAAGTATATACATTTAGACAATCAAACATTCAGTTCAGGAAAGCATAAGGGTTTACCACCTCTTTGCCCTTTTTTCTTTGTGTGGCCTGCTGACCTTAGGTATAATGTCAAATGAATGACAAAACAAATGACTGAGCATAGCCAAAGAAAAAAATGTTACCTTTGACTTACACAGACTAATATTTATTTATTTCATTATGCATATCAACATTCATACATTTCTGCAATACATGTAGTTATTATTGTATTTAGTTTAGTGTTTTTATTTATGTTATTCTTTCTTTATTATGCAATTATTTCTATTGTAAATGTAATTTTTCATTTGTAGAAATACTTTTAACCCATTAAATAACTCCGTGTTTAGATAGACACTTATTTGCAGTTACTTTCTCATTTAATTCGCTTTTTTTCCCCGATTGATACTCTGGTCAAATGTTACTAACTTTACGTGTGAGAGAAAACATACAGTGGCCAGTACGGGTATCGAACCCGCAACCTTCGCGTTATTAGCACGACGCTCTAACCAACTGAGCTAACCGGCCATGCGTAGTCTCTGTAGTGACGTAATCAAACAATCAAGTAATAAACGAAACCTACAGAACCGAAAGGTAAATATCCCTGGTTGGTATCTCGTTACTGACGGTAAGATTTCATAGTTTAAACATGTTAATGCGTTTTACTTTGTTAGATTTATAGAGAAAGTCAATAAAATAACATCAGTCATGCAACAGTTTATGGCTATCAGAGTGATAATCAGGCAGCAATCAGGCTGACAAAAACTACAATGTGTACTCGTCCTGTGTTCCTTAATGTCTAAAGTTGTATTTGACTTATAACCTACTTTTCTGTTACACACGGACTGCAGCTATAGTTGAATAAACTATCAAGTAATGTTTCATAGAGTTAGTGTAATGTTGAATGTGAATTTTAAAGGCAGACCAACTGAATAAGAGTGCAATACAACCAGCAAGGTTAGCAACATTTATGAATAAGCTACAAGATGGACTCACTTCTGACAAGGAAGCAAATACAGGTGATTTAGCAAGTTAAAATGTAAAATCCCACAAGGAGGAAGCGAAACAGGGCAAGGCAAGTTCATTTGTATAGAACCTCTTAAGGATTCAGAGTGCTTTAATGTGACAAACGAGGCATCAAGGCACATTTAAAAAAGAATACACAATATTATAGATATACACAGAAGGAATCTGAAGTTACCTACTGTAACTCCAGCTTCTATGAGTATTGGCGTAGCCCTCTAAGGCTATCGCTATTGGGTAATCCCCCTGCGCACCCGCGCAGCACTGAAACACTTGTAGTCCACGCCCGCCCGCAAGGTGGGCCCCACCCTCGGGCTCCCTTCCGGTATAAATAGGAAGGAGGCCCGAAAATCTGCTCCCACACAAAACAACTTTTCTTCAGCTATTCGTGGAGCCAGTGGGGCCCAGAACTTAGAGGGCTACGCCAATACTCATAGAAGCTGGAGTTACAGTAGGTAACTTCAGTTCTATTTCGTATATGGCTTCGCCCTCTAAGGCTATCGCTATTGGGTTAAGGGCGAAGCAAGATGTAGTCTGCGCCCCACTGGGTCCCCCCGGTACAAGAAGCACAGACACACCTGCTCAGATAACAACCCATGCCTATTGCGCCATGCGAATGGCGCATCACAGTCCCTGGAATATAGCATAACATGAATATTTACCATGAGGGGACGAAGGCTGGGAATAATACATACCTGCCGCTGTGAGAAAGTAGAGACGAAGGTCACACTTTGCCCAGTGACAGAAAGGAGG